GATGCGCTATCAACGATATTTTTATTTTCTACGTTTCCATCGACAGATAAAGTTAAAAGCGAGACTGTGGCGAACTGTCAACGACTATCTATGGAATTTCAACAATATGTCGTACATACGCGTAGCTTGCGTAAAGTTTTCCTATCAATCAAAGGCATTTATTATCAAGTGGAAATCAAAGGTCAAGTAATAACTTGGTTAGTTCCATATCAATTCAGTCAACGGGTTAGTAGAATGATTTATATTGATCCCACACCATATCCACATAATCAGTAACTCATGGTATTCCTTGCAACAACGATAGGTTCCCGACGACGTTGATTTTCGTGTTATGCTCACATTCCTGGAGTTCTATCAGACCCTCATTGGATTTGTGAACTTTAAATTATACACAGATTCCAATCTTTCTTACCCCCCAAAGCTTGATATATTAAAGGATGAAGGTTCGGGTGGACTAAATGTTCTTGTGATTGAGCCTAAGAACGTTCACCTATCTCTGAATTCACTTAATGTTGAGTACGAAAAGAAATCTAGATCGATGACTAGTGAAGAAAAGGTGGGTTGGATTCATTAAATAAAACCTATAAAAAGTTTTTTTTTTGAAGTTAAGCATGTGTGAATTTATTGTATTAGATTCAAAGTGCTCTTGTTAGTCATGTCAATCGATGTTCTTATCGAACGCAAATCAGTCTTCATTCTCTTTATTGCAAGTGAAATAAAATTTTTTACCCGAAGGTTTCTTTTTCTTATCAAAAGGTACAAAAATTGAAATCAGAAGAACGTTTAAAGACCTTATCCCAAAAGTTAGACGCGATGGAAGACAAAGAATCCACAGATCACTTGGAAGATACTGAAACTGATGTAAATGAAAATTTGATGGATGAGTTCATTGAGCAAACGTCTGAACAGTCTACGTCCCAAGGTCAGACGCTCATTTATCAAGACATTTATTCTGCTTCAACTGTCCTTTTGGAATTTCAACAACTTTTTTCAAAATGCATTTTTTATCTATCTCGTGAGGTTCCAAAATATTCGCTGGAATTCGTTATTCGTGCATTTGGTGGTCAGGTTGGCTGGGATGACACTGTTGGCATGGGTTCACCCTTCAAAGAACATGACGAACGGATTACCCATTACATAACAGACCGACAGATGACCAGAGAGCCAATTTCGACACGTATTTATGTTCAGCCGCAATGGGTGTATGATTGTATTAATGCTAGGAAATTATTAAGAACAAAACCATATCAACCTGACAAAGCCTTGCCGGCACATTTGTCACCATTCGTCGAATACAAAGAAGGTGATTATTTACCCGGAAATATTAACGATTTCGAAGGAACCATGGAAGAGATGGAAGTGTCAGATTCACAAAAAGATGTTAAGGGTGATACAAAAGAGGACAGTGACAGTGACACTGACAGTGAAAAGGAGGAATCTGAAACAAATTCTTCTGATGGGGTTACTAATTATGCGGAAAATAATGAGGTAAGTTCACCATTTTAATATCTATCTACGAGGATTTGTTTTTAGTATATTTGAATTGAATTTATTTATAATTTTTGTTAAAATCACAGTCTGAAGCTGAGGAATTGATTCATCAGATGGAACTTGAAGCTGAAACAATTGGTATACCATTTTCTAAGTATCAAAAAAATCGAGAGCGAATAGAAAAACAAAATAAGAATATCGTAAAACATGAAATTGCCATAACTGGAAGAAAGCGAAGTGCCAAGGAAATTGAAGAGGAGGAGACGAAGGAGTTGGCGAAGATTATGATGCCCAAGAAACAGAAAAAACTCTATAACAAGATGCAATATGGAAAGAAAAAGCAGGAAGAAAAAACGTTAAATTTGAAACGGAAGAAGGAAATTTTAGAGAAAAAGAAAAGATAATGACGCTCTAAGGAAAGAAAAAAGGAAAAGCCATGAGCTTTTGTTCTTTAAAATTTGCTTTTTTTTGTTTATTAATACACTTCAATGCTGAATTATAAAAAAAAAAAAATTTGAAATACATAATACAGCATTTTCAGTAATAAAATTAATTGTTATTTTTTGTATGCACAAAAGATGCTGGAGTTCAATCTTGACTTGGGATCCTCGACTCGATATTATGCTACTAATAGTTTTAGGACATTAACCTTCAACATTGGTCATAGGGACTCTACATCAGAACAAATTACTTATAACCACTGCACTCGCATTAATAAAATACGTAAAGGAAAAACAGTATGTATTAAGATGTCATTGCTTTTTTGGAGATTTTAGGGATGGCCGTGGTCTTTTTTTATTTGCATTGAATCCTCCATCATTAGGTCTTTTGACAGTGTTTTCTGTGCAAAGAAAAGATACATAGTTATACATGTTAATGAACAATAAAAAATCACAAAAGACGAAAAAATTTTTGTAAAATTTTACCACCTAAAGCCGGAGATTTCACCGAAAGCTTTGGGTGTGGTGACCCGATAGCACCACTATTCATCACTAGCGGCGATGGTGTTGATTTTGGAGTCGGTGTAGGGGTATGTATTGGAGTAGGTGTTCCTACTGGGGTACTCGCAGAAGTCTGTAAGTCATTAGCATTAGGAGTTGGCGGTGCACCACTGAAATTCGATACGTCATTCTTGGTATCCTTTTTGGAAACAGATTGAGAAGGCGAACTTGACATTTCCAGTGGATGATTAACCATTGACGCTGCTACATTTGGATTAGAATTTTGGGACGCAATGATCCGTAATGCCTCTGATTTAGACAAAGGGATTGAATTGTATATAAGAGCGATTACCTTAAAACTGAATTTAACCATACCCAAACCATACCCAAAAGAATTTACGCATTACCCAGTGGTCCTATATTTGGATTATTAATTGTAACTGCCATGACATCCTGCATATAGTCTACCCCCTCACCAACCTGGAACGTAAAAAATAGATGGTAAGAATTGATAATTATTCTTTTCGAGACTAATATATTATAAGATATACCTCTAGACACCGCATGGTCTTGTAAGGGATGCCGTGTCCATTTATGAGACTCTCCTGAGAATTTGTTATAAACTCGTTCAAGAGTTGCCTTGGAACATACTCAGTATATTTTTCTGCCTCAAATTCAAAATTTGTGATTTTCATATTGACAAAAGTGACACTCAGGCGTCCTGTCTCAACGACCTTGACGAAATGATTTGAAACTTCATTAGAGAACCATTCATGACGTGTACTGTTAATAAAAATATTTACCTGCATCCCATTTTCATAATGGTACATTATTGAAGCTGACTTGCACTCTACCAATATTCCATTGTTATGTTGAATGGATTCTTGAGTGATCCCTAATATTAGCTGTATTTTCGTCACCCCAGATTCGAAAAATGTCTGATAAAACCTAGGTATAAGTTGATATTTTATTTCTATAAATAGATTAAATTTTTTGTGTAAGCGAGTTAATGGTTGATAACTTACAATCAAACGAAATCATACCAAATTTTCTTGATCCGCTGTTATAATTCATTGAAGTATTGTCCTCAAAAAATATTTTTGTAAAATCCACCCAGTGCGCGATGTCATCCTTTTTTTTTATCTAAGGTGATAATTCTGATCAATAAAAGGAATAAAGTGCTAAGCAAGAACTACCAAAGACGTTTACAATAACTCACATTGAAGTCACTTTCTAAATAATCCGCAAACAATAGAAGCCTCATTTTAC